TTTGTATTATATCGGAAACAAGTTCGCGGGATTGAATCGGTTTCTTCGACGAGGTGTTCGCTCGTCGCATGTGTTCACTCAAAATTTCCGCCACGCGCGTAGTAGCCGAGCGAAAGTTATTCGGATTATTGGAACACGCGAGAAATGTATATTTTAATAGGAGAAAAAAGGGAAAAAATGAAAACGACGTATACAGGAAACGCGTTCGAGTTTGAACTTTCTTGTTCCTCGAACGATTTCGAATTGTTCAGTATTATCCTGTGCCGTATGAAAACGAGGAAGTTCTTAAATTTGCAGATCCGAGCTCTTTAGATCATTGAAAATTCCTAGGAACCTTACTGTCTGAATTATTTTATTAAGTATTGTATGATAAGTTGCCTTGTAAAAATGTACCGATTTTACCGAGAAATTAAATGTGTTACTAAAAGAAAATCAACCTCTGAACTGTTTCATCGACCTTTTTTTTCTACGAAAAAAAGGTAGCGATATAGCAATTTGTCGACTTATACGTAGTCGTAATTGTAAGTAACGAGAGTTATCATTTTCACTGTACTTTCTTTGTATAAGACTGACATCGTTTGTATATGCTTAAAGGAAAAATGAAAAAAAAAAAAGATATGATCTTGTTAGGTACGTCAAGATTTATACACGTAAATTAATGTGTCTACGATTATATGTGTTTAGATCACAGAAGGACTTATATCATACTGTAAATAGAACACTTAAGAAATCGCATTTTCTAGCTCGAATTAAGCTTTAGAATTAAGTCTTTATCTAATAGAATCGTCTTGAAAAGAATATACATACTTAATAAAACAGCAATTCGTGAACACGAGGATCCAAAGCTGTCTAAACTGTTTGTTTCCGAATTCCTTGTTTGTCATATTTAAATAAAAGAACTGCAAACAATTAGTAATCCGTCAAATTCTTTCGACAAATATTCTGACTTTCTCGGACAGTTTCTTCGCATAAATATCTTTCAGTGACACGTTGCACATTTCTCTTGTGTTATTTTAAGACGAACACTTCCATCGTTGTTATTTTTGTATCTTATCGAGTATATCATTCGTTGATTCGTATTATCATACGTTGCTTCGTATTAGCAGCTGTCGGTAAAGTGGAAATCCACGTATCTGTAACCGATATCATGCGACACGCGAACCCCTTTCCACTACTCGATAAATTTTAGCATAGTTACCAACGTTACCGACTCCTCGTACAGTAAATCACTGTACGTGCAATTACGTACGTTCGCATTTGTTAATAATTTTCTATTAATTTCAAAATGATATACTGCTCGTTGAATATACTTAGGAAGAGAGACAAAGTACGTAGAAGATTATTAAGAAAACTCGCGAAATATTTGCTTTCCGAATAATTTATTCAAAATTCAATTTTAATCAATCAAAAGGGAGTGGCCAGGGTATACACGAAAATACGTGACACGTGATAGGTTAACGTCGAAAGGGATAGAATTTATACATTATTTCGGTGCATCATAATAATTTATAAACTACGATCTCTTTTAACTTAAGATATAAATAAAATACGCAATGCTTGTTACTACTAAAATATTTTCCTTTATACGAATAGTTTGTACAATTCGTTATTGGACATTGTAAAAATAAATATTATACATCGATTGCTAGATGCTAAGCTACAACCATCTTGACCAAAATCCTCCCTCTCTTCGTTCTCATTTCCTTCAATTTTTCATCCACCCTCGTCGTAGCTCTAACTACATTCTTCATTAATCGTCTCTGTTTCTTTCAGTTCGTCCGGTACCAGGTCCCACTTCGAAGACCATGCCGGTTTCTCCGTTTCCTGCGTGTTCACCTCCTCGATCAGGTTCATCAGCCTAACGAAAAATTCGTTCAGTTTCGCCGCTGTTCCTCGTCGTAGCTTTTGGAAATTTCTATCTGCAACAGCACGCAATCGATATGAACACCCCGAGCACTGATAGAAAGTCGATTTTCCGATCCTCGTAGCCGCGCGATCCGGAACGCGAAACGAAAGCAGGGATCGGACAGGATCGTAACATTTAGGTCTCGCCCGTGTTTCGTCCCGTCACACGGAGACCGCAATTATCGATAATACAAATAGGACGATGTGACATGACAGAGGAATCGATATTTCTGGCGATCAGTTGTGTTGTGTACTGGTCAAGAGAGAATACTTATGCCAACTGTGCACGGGAAATGGGCATGCCTTCATGAAATATGAAACAATCACCGGCGAGGAATGCTTACTCGTTTTACGTTACCAGTCAAGTTTATAAGCATCTACTCTTTCGTCGAGCGCCTACATTGTTCGCAAATAGCGTAGAACGAGAGTGACGAACAAACAGAGGAAATGGAAAATTCTTTCGCTCGTGAATAAAACAGAGGTACCTTCGAGTAACCTCTAGGATTAGATAGAAAATTTATTTCCTCGTATTTACTGGAAGGGTAAAACGCGCTCTTGATCCAGATACTCTGCTGCGTGAGCGTGGCCATGAATCTCTTCGTTATCAAGCTCTGACTTTCGGGCGTCATGGGTCTCAGCCGACTGATGAATCTCAGTAGGTACTCCAAAAGGTATCTGCTGCAGCTAGGCAGCTTTTCCAAGCACCTCTGAGGCTTGGAGCTCCAGGCGACGATGTAACTCAGACTGTCCACGTCCAGCAATGGGTACTTCAGCGTCTCTAGCCACTCGAACAGTAGCCCTGACAGGATATCCAAGTCGGTTTCCATTTTAAGCCTCTGCCATGCCGTGGATCTATGGTTGAGATCCATCTGAAAATCGATCGGTAATTCAATCTCCGATACTCTACGTTGATTCGAGAATAAAATTTCGACCTGGTAGTCCTGGACACACTTCTTCGTCCTGTCGGACAGCAGAGCACTGTCTCTGACCAGAGCTCTGATTATCTCCTCGGTATTCACGGTTTCGACGGCCGTGCTCTGCGCAGCAGCCTTTAAATCCATGTGGGACTGGATTTCCTTGTAGCAATCGTTGTCCACGAGATCCTGCCCGTGAATCCCGTCTCCGAGAACGTCGTCCACGCAGTTGTCGTCTAACACTGCGAAAAATATTGTTTCTCACGTTGACTGACTCGAGATACTTGCCTGAGTTCTTTGCTAGGTTGACATTCGAAGTTAGGGCACCTGGGAAGGCTGAATCGCAAGATGGAGTGTCCGGGGAGGTGCAGAACACGTCGCTTAACCTCCCAATATCGTCCAAAGTGCCTCTGGAAGATGCTTGGCTGCCGCTCGCGCATGCTTTCGTGGAATCTGAATAATCGGGCAGAATTAGCAACTCCTCGTTTACCATTAATCTCACTAGGCACCAGAACTACGATTATAATATTCAGAAATAGGTAAGAGAAATTATATTATTTGTATTATTTATTTTATAGACAAGCTCGGATCGGTAGTTCTGACGTGAGAGTTTAGTCTCCTTACTGGAACAGTCGTAAGAATCGGCCAGAGACTCGGCCCACGAGTAGGAGTGTCTGATGTTCCCTTTGCCATCCCTCAGCTTGTCCAGGACGTGGGATATAAATTTCTGCGTGAAGGCCGTGCTGGAAATCTTGTACTCGATCTCGCACGGGGAATTGTCTTCCTGGCAGTCGCACAGCTGAAGGATTCGCTCGCAAATCGTGAACACGATCTAAGAAACAGTTCGTTCGACCGGCTTAGTAGGGGGCCATTTGCTTTAACACGCGCGAAGAGTAAGTGAACCTTTGGGATGTATTTGAACGTGCGTTGCTCGTATCCGTGCAGGACGTTGCGCTGCTTCTTCAAATGCGACTGCAGGCTGCAGGGCTTGCGCTCCCCTATCGTGCTGTTCAGGGGGAAAACTATCATCTGCGGGAGCACGAAGTGCTCGAATTCCTGGATACAGAGTATCTGTCCCCGCGTCTGTATCGCGGACGGTCGTTTCATGCGAACGAACCTTATGGCGTCGTTTGCTCGCACACGAAGACCGTAAATAAGGTAGCACGCGATCAGAACCCCGGTTCTGCCCAGCCCTGAAAAAGGCTCGTGTCCTTTAAACTTGTCTAACAATAAGCATCGTGTGATTAATCGCTTCGCCGAGGTCGACCAATAGCTGTGCTTCATTTTTCTAACGTATTCCGACCCAAATGCATATCGTTTAACTCCACGACGTATGGCAACGAAGACACGAATATACACGCGGAAACGAAACGGATAATCGAAGGACAAAATGGTACCTCGGTTGCAAATACAGAGATCCAGGTAACCTAAACGGTCGAAATTTATCGGTATCAGCTCGAGCCTCGTTATCAGCATCTTATCATCACGACGTGCTAGCTGTCTCCGTCTGCGATTGAAATATTTATCACTAAACGGTCTCGCGCTTATCGATCGCATTTAATCCGAGAAATAAATTACGTGCTCACGCTCGAACCGTGAACCGGAAGCGGAGGCTCGTAATCGTACCCGGTCCCATTTCCTGGGCTAACAAGAGTTATGACGTATCAGACGAATAACCACACGATGATAACCATTGCCCGTTCGTACATGTACACGTACCCTGGCCTACACGTACCCACAGCCCGTAATTAAGTCGCGGGCCGTGCACGCGAGTCACGCGTGGAATTTCGGCTATTCGATTAAATCGTCGGTTGACAACGCGACCTGGGAATTCTTCGGGCAAAGAATTCGATACGTTCCTCGCGATAAAGGTTTCGGGCGGGAAATGAAAAACAGCAGCGTGCAAATAAATCGTGCCAATTACGAAAACCTTGCGACGCAATTACGCGAAGACGTAGAAAAAGGGAAGAAAGAGGAAGAAAGTCACGGAACGAGTGCAGCGCTCGTGACAACGCGTTTCTCAGGTATCCATTCGCGCATCGATCATTCGATACGAAGACTCGAATATGAAGAAAATGTAATTTTTATGGTGGTTAAATATGCACGACCTGCTGGCTCTTGTCATCGAATAACCAATCGATCGATACTATCATGCTCAGATTGCGTCTAGGTTCCCGAACTCCTCGATGGAGACCACGATCGTTTGACGATATCACTCGTGACTCATATCCCTGGGATATTTTTACGCGAAACTTTCAGGGTTGAACATCGCCGCGATTCGAAAATGTTACAGTCCCGATGCTACGCCCCAATTCCTTATCACTGCTAATCTATTATTCGTGCTCGTAAATTCCGTTAAAGAATTGAAACTGGCGAACCTTTATGGTTAGCAAACACGCTTCCACCCAATTAGGGGATTACTCATGGAAGCGCGTGGGTTAGGGTGCTAAGCGTTTTATCCGACGTTCGATCGGCATATCCTTTTCCGCGTATTAAAAATATCCCTTTGTGTATGACAGTGGTGTCAAATCCACGTAGTCAGGTCCTTAAGGGTAGTTTCATAGGGGCTGCGTGTCACGGACGACCGGAGTCGTATCAAGCAAGGAGTACGTTTTATGTTTATTTCTTCCCTCACGAATTTACGATTATCGAATTTAATTCGATTATTATTTTATCGAATAGCATCGAATCCCAACGTAATCAGGTTACTTATAGAAAATAATGAATATGTAGATAATTATTTAATTCGATTATTATTTTATCGAATAGCATCGAATCCCAACGTAATCAGGTTACTTATAGAGAATGATGAATATGTAGATAATCACAAAGTGATTTTTCGTTTATTTCTGTATAACCCACGAGGTTTAGAGAACGAATATTTCTTGAATGAATTATTTCTTTGAAAATTCTATTTCGTCGACCTTAAGGGTAGTTTCATGGGGGCTGCGTGTCACGGTTTAGAGAAGGAATATTTCGTGAATGAATTATTTCTTTGAAAATTCTATTTCGTCAATCTTAAGGCTAGTTTCATGGGGGCTGCGTGTCACGAACGACCGGAGTTTGTCAGTAGAGGAATACGTTTTACATTGATTTGTTCCTTGACGAATTTACGATGATCGAATTTAATTTTATCGAATAGCATCAAATAGGTTACTTATAGACAATGATGAATATGTAGGTAACACAAAGTGATTTTTCGTTTATTTCTGTATAACCCACGAGGTTTAGAGAAGGAATATTTCTTGAATGAATTATTTCTTTGAAAATTCTATTTCGTCAATCTTAAGGGTAGTTTCATGGGGACTGCGTGTCACGGACGACCGGAGTTTACCATGAAAGGAGTACGTTTTACATTTACTTGTTCCCTGACGAATTTAATTTTATCGAATAGCATCAAATAGGTTACTTGTAGACAATGACGAATATCTAGATAACCACAAAGTGATTTTTCGCTTATTTTTGTACAATTCACGTGGTTTGTAGAACGAATATTTCGCGAATAAATAATTTTTTCGAAAATTTCATTTCGTCGTTGATAAAATCTCGAAGTTTGGACCTGAGACCACGTTTGACTCCAGCGTTCCTTGATAACGCGTGTCTTTCTCGCATATGTCGTGGAACGATATCAGTCCCCTGGCAAATTACCCATTGTTCCTCGTTTAACCAACGAGGCGTGCGATCCTCGCGGGTCGCTTCAGGCGAAAGTTCAAGGAAGATCGTAATGAATGCAAAAATTCAGATTCACCGGCTTCCCGGCGCGTGTTGCAGCACGCAATGCACCAAAGCAGGTATCGCCTCGGGCGAACGCGTTTCACACGTGGGTTAGATCGATACGTCGAAAGGCTAGAAATCGTTTGATAAAGGGCTGCATCGCGGAAATAGGGCCATTTAAAACCGCGATAGCGAACTTGCTCGAATTAAAAGGCTCGTTCAGACGATTCGCGATAAGCGCGAGTGTCTGCTCGTTCCCTCGATAATATCTTCGCTTCCGCGAGAATGAATTTCTCTATGAGCCGGGAAAATGCATGCGGCGATCATTGATAGAAAATTGAACCGCGATCGAAGGTAAATTACCGGTGCAGGGAAGACAGTGCGGGTGTAAAAATTGGGTTAGGTGCATCTATCGAAAAGGATCGATTTACCGGCGTGACAGTGAATCGCCACTCTTCCCTCCTGCACGGCAAAGGCCACGACCTTGACCATATCCAGAAGTTTGCCCATGGTCGCGTCCCCGTAGTCCTTCAACGCGAAATTGTAGTAGTAAACTGGAACAGATAGCGAAGCGATAGAGTGCTGGTCTAGAAGATGCTATAGAAGAGACTCGATTCCAATGGTTTCCACGATCTCCACGATTTCCAGCATCGGAACTTCTCTTTCCCCCGCGTGGTTACACGACTCTGCTGCATTGCGTGTCTCAGCTCCGAACCTCTTCGATTCCTCGCCGGAATCGAAGCTGATTCCCACGACCACGGTTTACGTGTTAGGCAACAACCTTCGCTTTACCTACAACTCGATTTCGTCGTGATTAAGCAGATATTAGAATAGATTAAGTAAATTAAGTAGATTAAGCAGATATTTCCGTGCTTTCCTTGTTTCATTTATTACATTCTATTGCTTCCGTCGTTAGTCTATTTCTATTTCGTAGAACTAGGTTTCTTATATTTTTTGGTACACGAGTACCCCGTGCCCCCCGTGACGTTTAATAGATATTCTTTTTCACCCTCGAACGCGGATGGTTCGTCCGACAGGATTTACGTATCGTGGATCACGTGTGTGAATTGTACGAGGTTTCGATTTTCCGTTCATTCGTTAATTCCGTTTCTACGCTTTGATACCTACTGCCATGTTTCATGAAGACATTGGGGTCGTAGGTGAAGCCGCTGTCTTCGAGGGGGCCACCGCAGCTCGCATGCTCGCCCGGCGTTTGCAGGTTTATTATGGTTTTTATACTCCACCCTTGAAACTGTGCAATTATGTCTTTTTTTATTATCTGTGCGGTGTTCGGTCGTGCCATCGCGAGAACGTCGTCTGTCACCCTGAGGAATTATCGACCCTTACATCTCTCCATAATTGTTCAAAATCGTGACGCTAAATGAACTTTGCATCGACGTTCGTTCCTCATCGTTTCAACTCGAGCGAATGTGATGACCGTTTTCGGAGTCGCCACGATTTGAAAGAAAATCGATGCTTCATACGCGTCGTCGTTATCATTTCTATTTACACATTCCACGACCCCGTATCAAGGTACGCGACACCGAGATCAATTTCGTTCGCTCGCAGTAGGAAGTTGATCGTGTTACGATAATGATCCGTGCGATTTTTTACGGGGATAAAAATGGAAGCGGACCGAAATTGCAAAATTTTTATTTGCACGAACGGAAATGTTAGGTTCGTGGTATGGAGCGAATATGAAAAATCAAGCTTGCAGCTGTTTTCATAAACTTTTATCGCGGCCTTACCAGTGCGAGAAGATGTTCTGTATCGCCATGTGCACAGGCGGCCAGGCTTTCGAGTTCTCATATTTGCATCTGGATCCACCGCAAAAGATCGCGCACTGTATGGCCTGCGGCGTGAATTTCCGCAAGTTTTCCGAAAATTTATTATAACCAGCCTGGACCTCGCACATATCCACTTGGCCCGCTTGCAAACCCGCGGGTACCAGCGAACTTACATCCATTCTGCAAGCAATGTTAGCGACCCATCGTCAACTTGTAATTTCGTACCTTTTCTTCGACACTTTCGACGTTTAAATTAAATTCCCAACTTTCAGATATCACCGAGCAACCCCCGTGAGATTTGAAGTCGTACAAAGGAAAAAATTCTTTCATCGAGTTTAATTTATTCACTTTCGTCTTGGGTATCGAAGAATTCTCTTCGTTTAAACGAAATTAAAGTACACTTACGTGTTTGAAAATAATCACGCCCCTTCCGTCCATCTCATCGCCGTATGAAAATTGTATTTTCTCTAAATTTGTCCCCTTTTATCGCTGTCAGACGCGCTTGACAGTTCGAGCAGAATCTTTTTCCAACGATTTTCTCTACGCAAGAAAACCCGACACAATGTAACAATCAATGTGAAAAAGCACTTCACGTACAGGGGTAAGCGCATAGCGACTGGTAGTTCTGCTACTATAACGCAACTTTATCTATCGTCCTATCATACAGATTGCGCCTGCGTCAGTTCTATTAGCTATAAAACCGCTTTTGTTTCATTCCACCCCTGCTGTATGCCCGGTACAATTTCCAACAACCTGGCCTCAGCTATATTCGAGTTTAAGCTGGAGAAATTGCATGTAATTTACATAAACAAGTTCCTAGAGTAGAACAACAAAATTGCACGGCCATTACGCACACTTTTCTGCTGAAAAATTGGGAAACTTATTGAAAATTTTAGCCGAGGAAAGGAAATTTGTGTAGATAAAAATTTATGGATTATGAGGATAAATTTAGGTAATTATAGAAATAATACGTTTAGTATTTTATTTCCGTCCAAATTACATTGACTTGACACAAAACATGATTTTTGGCTATTATTTCTTCGAAAACGATAATTTCTATTGCATGTTCCTATTAGATACTTAATTGAATAATGTGCTGTATTAATTAATCAATTGTTTCTAAGGTTTTGTTGACAGGATTAAGGACAGAGGAAATTGCAAAAGGAAAATGAAAAATATCTAATATACTTTGTACATGAATTTTAGTATAAATAACAAACACTACAGAAAATGGATTTCATGTACAGTAACGTAATATATAGCATGTAAGGCTACAGGAAAATATATAACAGCTATTTTAAACTATATTAAATATGAAGTGAAAAATAAATGTAACGCATACATCAGTATAAAAGTAGATAAATATAAATTAAAAATTAATGGCAACTTACTTATTAATATTTTAATTATTTCAGAGAAATTATTAATGTACAATATACTATGAACATATTAGCATATTTGTCAATGTATTTTAATGTGTTTATATGTAATATGTTACATAATAAATTCCACTATTACGTGTGTACATATAAAAATAAATGGGAAAAGATATGCAAGCTGAACGTATTAAAGCAACATCAGGTAATGTAGAAATAGACTTTACCTACAATCATTACGAGCAATTGACAACAAATTCCAGAGATTCGAAAAATCCGCAAACATATCTCAGCAATAATTAATAAGATAAAATCGAAATAATCGAAAAATTTATCCAATTGTAGCTGTGATTGTGAAAATACATAGACAATTATGTAAATATCTTTGTAGGTATACATATACTTATAGTGTTTAGTCAATATTGTCAGTAAACTTGTAATGCGATCAATAAAATTGAACATACACGAATCAATTATATGAGTACTGTCATTACAAAAACCTACACTGCCTACACTTAGCATTAAAAAAATTATCAAACCCTCAAAACACTAAAAAATGGCTTATAATAACATGCAGCGTACAGGTAAGTATACATCAGGTAAGTATAAAACAGGTAAGCATTCGTGGACAATACTTTTGCATCCTCAACGTTAAATTTTTGGAAAATTTGCGATTTTATATCAGGAATACATATTATGAAAAGAGGTAGTTCAACGACAGACTTCCAAGAAATGACGTCATTTCCAAGAATTTAGTGGACAATACTTTTGCCGCCTTGAAAAAACAATTCTGGATGATTTCACGATTTTGTATCAGGAGAACATAACAAGACAGGAGGTCGTTCGCCGAAGCAGTTCCAAGAAATGGCGTAATTTCCACGAATTTTTTTGCAGCCTCGGCGAGAAATCGCTGGCCGATTTCGTGATTTTGTATCAGGATAACATAACATGACAGGAGGTCGCTTCGCGGGACAGTTTCAAGAAATGACGTCATTTCCAAGAATTCAGTGGACAATACTTTTACAGCCGACACGGACAATACTTTTGCAGCCGACACGGACAATACTTTTGCCGCCTCGATGGACAATACTTTTGCCGCCCCGGTGGACAATACTTATGCCGCCTCGCCGTAAAATTTTCGACCGATTTCGCGAGTTTGTATCAGGATAACATGACATGATAGGAGGTCGTCCGTCGAGACTGTTCCAAGAAATGACGTCATTTCCAAGAATTCTCGGACAATACTTTTGCAGCCGTGTTGTAAAATTTTCGCCCGATTTTACAACTTTGTATCAGGATAACATGACATGACAGGAGGTCGTCCGTCGAGACTGTTCCAAGAAATGACGTCATTTCCAAGAATTCTCGGACAATACTTTTGCAGCCGTGTCGTAAAATTTTCGCCCGATTTTACATCTTTGTATCAGGATAACATGACATGATAGGAGGTCGTCCGTCGAGACTGTTCCAGGAAATGACGTCATTTCCAAGAATTCTCGGACAATACTTTTGCAGCCGTGTCGTAAAATTTCCGCCCGATTTTACAACTTTGTATCAGGATAACATGACATGATAGGAGGTCGTTCGTCGAGACTGTTCCAAGAAATGACGTCATTTCTAAGAATTCTCGGACAATACTTTTGCAGCCGTGTCGTAAAATTTTCGCCCGATTTTACAATTTTGTATCAGGATAACATGACATGATAAGAGGTCGCTCGTTCGAACAGTTCCAAGAAATGGCGTCATTTCCAAGAATTCCCTGGACAATTCTTTTCCAGCTTTGCAGTAGATTTTTATTATTTTACTTACCTTATACTTACCTTATACTTACCTTATACTTACCTTACTTACCTTCCTTACGTACCTGCCCTTATTTGCGTTGCATTCTTTACTTACAAGGAGAGTGCAAGTCTTTCAGGCCACCGATTTAGTTGAAACTTTGCAGGTTTGTAGATATCGTCATGCAGTTGAAGTAAATATGTTATTATAGCGGCCACTATTGAATAGCTTTTGAGATATTTACGAATAAAGATTTGTTACGCGGTGAATTACGGATTTATTTTGAATAGTTTTTAATCGGAGTTGTAGACTAATAGTGATAGTCGAGAATTTCTATGCTCGAGGACTGGGATTCGATTGCGGTTCATAAGTCAGTATTTTTTTTCAATCTATTTCTTATTTTGTATTCATTTTTCGCGTATGAAAACATTGTAAATAAAAAATTGTAAATAAAATCTCTTAATAAAAAAAATTTATTTTTTTCCTTTTCTTAGGCAAGTATATATTTATTACTAAATAAGAATATTATGCAAGAAAAACACTGTTTTATAGCAATTTTATTTACTAGTAACTAATTATTAAATTAAACATTGTATAAGAATGTTGCATATAATTCCAACTTTGCTGCGTAGCTATAAATGTTCACGAATTAATTACAAAAGCTTGGAAATTTATTAATTTTCTGCTGCCGAATTGATTTATGAAGGTGTATTATTAGCGCCTAACCAGAAGTGGTATCCAGTTGGAATAAAAATTTTTCCGCCTGCGATCAGCGCCATCTATGATTTGGGATCAAAAATCAAGAAAGTAATAGGAATATAGAATAGGCAAGGAGGACGTCGAAGAGCTCGTCACGTGGTAGACCAGGACAGAGAGAGGATAGAAAAGGATAAAATGGCTCCGGCAGTGAAAAATTATTAATTACTCAATTTTCGTAAACAATTTGTGAATTTTTATAATTCCATTGGAAAGCTGAAACATCAGGCTGAATTCCTATATAAGTTTCGTAAAGAATTTAGCTCTAAATTGTTAGTTATTAATTTTTATTTGATGGCGTCTATGATTTCGTAACGGCGACGATCACGATCTTCCGTGAAAATATTTAATACTCAACGAAACTAGAAGCAAAATGTGATCAAAAGTTATATGGGAAGATTTGCAAGGACATTGTTTTTATAATGAGTGCTTAAAGTTTCATAAATTAATTGCGTAAGGGATAGTAATTAATGAAAAACCAATGGCGTCTTCGACAACAGTTCAAACACTGCGCAAAACAATTATTATTAATTAATTAATTTGGGACAAATTTATATCGAAAAATATATGTGGACGTTCGTGAAGGATCTGGCTTTACGATAGTATTATAAAAGTTCATAAATTAATTACAGATATTGAGTAATTAGTGAATTTTCCATTGCCGATTTGATTTATTAAAATATATTCGGAGCACATAACCAGAGTTAATAAACTGACATCAGAGCCATCTATGACTTTAGACTCGAAGCTCCAGTTCTGCAACGAGAACATAGATGGCTCTGATATCAGTTTACTAACTCTGGTTATGTGCTCTGAATATATATTAGTAAATCAAATCGGCTGTGGAAAATTCACTAATTACTCAATATCTGTAATTAATTTATGAACTTTTATAATACTATCGTAAAGCCAGATCCTTCACGAACGTCCACATATATTTTTCGATATAAATTTGTCCCAAATTAATTAATTAATAATAATTGTTTTGCGCAGTGTTTGAACTGTTGTCGAAGACGCCATTGGTTTTTCATTAATTACTATCCCTTACGCAATTAATTTATGAAACTTTAAGCACTCATTATAAAAACAATGTCCTTGCAAATCTTCCCATATAACTTTTGATCACATTTTGCTTCTAGTTTCGTTGAGTATTAAATATTTTCACGGAAGATCGTGATCGTCGCCGTTACGAAATCATAGACGCCATCAAATAAAAATTAATAACTAACAATTTAGAGCTAAATTCTTTACGAAACTTATATAGGAAT